GGCAGTCGGAGCCAGACCGAACACCGACCGGGTCGATAATTCATTGGATAAATCGCTTTGTCCGTCTGTTTCTCACATCTCAATAATGACAGTAATAAAACAATGACGCGAAAACGCATAAAATCCATAAAAACGATACACACTGTGTGAATGGCATACAATGTTGAGAATCTGAATTCTTAATCAGCAGCCTTCCTTTTTGGTTTTTTCGGATTCTTGGACCGGCTTTTGCTTTTGCACATCGGACAGATTGGTGCATTGCGATGGATTTGTTGGAAGCATGACTGACACGTCTAAAATGCAACAAAAGTTCTTGGGAATTATTTCCACAGTGTAAGACATCTTTTCCTTCAGTAAGTACCACCAGTGTTTAAGGCTAAGAACAAAAGAATGATGTTCAAAACATATCAGTGGCACCTTGATCACCTATCGCCTAAGAACATTGCATTTCTGACATTCAGTCTTAGTAGTTCTGGCACTATCCAGCAACATTAGACCCGCTGTCCTCTCTGCCTTGGACACGGTAAAAAAACATAGTTTCTCTAAAATCATAAAATTTTCAAAGTTGAATGGATTTTTCCGAAAATTGAACTTTATATCAGACGAATGATAAACTTAACTTTAAACTAACTGAATATAACCTCATTTTTTAATGAGAACGCACTAAAATTCTATTACTTTTCTAATTCGATGAACCTGCACGAGAACGAGCTACTTCATTTGCTTTCTAAAGGCGCCAATATTGCTAGGATGAACGGTCCCCAGGATGAAGTGCACCTGGTTTGTTTGTACGAACACGCGTTTTGCACTAACTTGAAACAAACAGTAGTTAACTATATGAATGACTGCTGCTTTACATTTACTTTATGTGTTTACTAGCATAAATCATCGTGAATTTTATAAAAAGGAAAATAAAAAATTTCCGTTTAACGATCTTCCCCTGAAAATGATCTAGCTCTCCAGCGAGCAATTTTCCCGCTAAAACCTTCAAGTATCCACACGTAAGAAACCACGCATACGTGGAAGATGGATTTGAAATCTTTAAGTTGTACTTGGACAGGAAGCATTCTGTCCAACCTTTAACTTTCTACCTTTTCTGGTTCCCAAGTTAACAATTTTCCCGTCAAATTTCACGGTCCCGTACGTGAGAACGACGCGTACTTAGGGGCTGAATTTGAAGTGTTTAAGTTATATGTGGGCTGGGAACATCACTCTAAATTTTCGGCCTTCTAGCTTTCCTAGTTCTCGATTAAGCAATTTTCAAAACTTTCACGGCGTACGCGGGGTCCAGACATGCACGAAGGTTGGTACCGCGGCCCTAAGGTGGCAGTTGGCTGAGGGACCCAGTAGCGAAATTTTAGCACCAAAGCTTGCTTGGTTGCGGAGTTGAGATACCCGGACAGACAGACAGAAAAAAACACTCACTATGGGTCATCGTAATACGCATACATACAAAAACGCATAAAAAATGCGGTAAAAACCGTAGAATGATGAAATTAGACCAAAGTGACTGTGGCAGAATCGAATGATTAAGAAAATGTTTACCTTCATCGGTGGCGACTGATGGTCAATTTTGGTAACTGCAGAAGTACTAGGTGAGAATGGATTTGCTAAAGTATGAGGTCGTGATGCCATCGCAGGAGCTGCTTGCAGAAGCATGGAATCAAAATTGAACATGGCACGCTGAACGACAGCCGGCATCGAATTGGCTTTGAAATGCCGAAAAAGCTGTGGTACACCTGAACTTGTGGACGATGCTCCCATCGCAGGCATATTCCTGAAATTGTGAAACTGGAAAATTCATTTTCATTAAGAAATTTCAGACTGCTAACGATTCGGTAGCGCGTTCGTTGGTATTAAGCATACCAACGTACGAAAAAGTTACGCCGCTTCTGGCTTGCCTTCCTGATTTCCCACGAAAAAAGCATCACAAATAGGCTTCGTAATCAAGAGACACTAATCGCTATCTCATTCATTCTACATTATAAAAAATAGGATTGCCAACAAGCCGATCACGAGATGATTCAACATTCGCCAAAACAATTGGAAAAGTTGCCAGCGGCAGAGATAGAGAGCCAGAAAATGGAATGTAGCTGATCAAAATATTGTCATTATCATCGTTATGATCATTATCATTAGTCTTTTCATCATTATATTGCTGTCACAATTTTA